TCATAATGATGGTGTGGGCTGGCCAGTAGCCTCTCGAGGTTTAGAAGCCTGAATTTATTTTAATCTACTTTTTTTTAGTATTTCGCGTTGTAATAAAATACTTTAACAATTGTTAATATATTTACTATAATGCTTATTGTGTGGATTATCTGTGTTTTACTTTCCTTTTTACTTTTTTCTCAAATGGCTGCTTTGGCGATGCATTACTGTAAGTCGATGTGACAGTAAAGCAGCTGAATTGAATAATTAATGCGTAAACAGAACGCTGAACCTTTACAAACTTGGTGCTGCATAATTACTGTAGCAGACTCACAATACAATAGCCTTCCATGAATGTAAAAAAATAAAAGTGTTTGGAATAATTGTAATTTTCCATTTTACTTGATTATTTGCAATTGGCCGTTTTTCAAAAACTGCCTCATCGTGATTTAAGTAGAATCCTAATTTGCACTACCAAAGCAACGTGCTCTTCTGGAAAGTAAGCAGAGTGCAGCTTATTACTTATGTAAACAGCAGACTGTGCAAATCATGGTACTCATTCAAAGACAATGTAAATGGAACTTTTAAATAAGGATGGCTGCAAAGGACAGATGCAAATGAAATTGAAATAAACATCCGAGATGCTTTTTTGCTTTTAAAAATTCATACGACAGTAATGACAGCCCCCCCCATGGTAATTCCAAGCAATACCAATTCAGTAAAGGTTTAGCATTAAAAAGACACATTCTTTTATTTTGAGGGCAACTTCAAGATTCCAACAGCCTTGAGTTTTATCTCTAAGCGGCCCGGGGTCACGGGCCCAACTCTCCCGAATCGTCCCGAAATGCAATCTGCTCTCTGGACGTCCCAGGGCTGTGGTGCTGCTGGAAACCCATCCCTGCCAGGGGTGACGGAGCTCCCTCACCTCTGAATAAAACCCCAGGCAATATCATCTGTAGAGTGCCAGAGGGAGCTACACCAACTCCAGCGCTGTCTGAGCTGAGGTACAGTCCCTCTCTCGTTTACTAGGTAAGAATGGCAGATATGTTTTAGACTGCAGAGAAACGCAAATGCTGTATTAGAGATATAATATGAAACAATAGGACCACGCACTTAGCTTATATTGTACATTTTCTAAAATTGCTTATTAACTTGTAGTACCATGAGTCATTTCCTTTCAAACAGACGTGTGGCCACAGTCTCCACAGGCCGCTGTGGTAGAGATAGGAATATCGCAGCTGCGAGGCCTTTTTAAACACTTTGATGTTTGTAGTTTTCAGGACAAATTAACTGTGTAATGTCTGTTAAAGTTTGATTACCGGTGGACCATATTTCACTACCGATACTGGATCTTAATAGCCATGACCTGGGAGGGAATGGGCCCTTTTAAACAGCCGCAGCACAGAAGAGAAAGGGCTCTTTCTTCAATAATAAAGCACAGCAAAACCACTCTGCCAATAATATAGGCTATAAAACAAAGTAGTGAAATTAGCCAAGAGCTCCACTGTTTTTGGCCGTTCAATCATTTTTGTGCTTTGTCAGGGTAGGAAACAGTTCAAGGTTAAACTTTCTTAAAGTTACAATAGGGAACAAAACATTCTTCTTCTGATGCGGTTCAGGTTATTTTCCAGCACAAAATAAAAACCCAGATCTGGATTTCACTCCCCAGATCGGGATTCTCCAGCTCCGTTTTACCCAGCATGAAAGGACGGAGGACATCAGCCATCTTGCAAGGAAGAAAACAAAATAATGTGCCCTCAAGCTAATGAGCAAGAATGTGAACGATGCAGGAAATCGTTTGTTGAGGCTTTAATGCAGAACAGACCCTGCCTCCTGTTTCCTTGCCTGAATGCCTCCAGCCAGGCGCTCTGTGGAGCTCAGCCCCACCCTGGGCCAGCCTGCTGCAGGGTGTCTGACCTGTGCTCGTCCTGATCTATACAAAAATGTATTTTCTTAAACAGAACAGGACACAGAATTTTTACAACTGCAGAGGTTAGCACGGCTGGTGTAACCAACAGAGCAAAATGAACATGGCCAATTTCACGTGAAGGTTTTAATGCTCGAGTTTCAGCTGGGCAGAGAGCTGTCCTGTTACCTTCCAGTCTGACACACGGACTACGGGAACAAACCTATTAGCCGAGTTGCTGAATACATGATTTGGCGATTTTGTCACTTCCGTCACTGTCCTCTTGTATGAGCAAAGATTCACACAGCTACAGCAGCAGACTACTCTAAATACACTGCTGTTCAATGAAGGTGTCAAGTGATGTATCGATTTTTTTTCAATTTACAATGATGATAAAAAATGAGACACTGCCCCAGCCTCAACAACGTTTGCAGAAGGAAGGACCCGGTAAGGGCAGCACAGGATCCTGTGGGCATGACCTTTCTTGATTTTATCTTTTCCAAGTTCACTCTTAGAAGCTGGTCTCATCCTCCATTTTGCAAAGATCTCGACCCATCAGGAAACAACTGGCTCCGCCACCAGTGTGATCGAGCCGCACAAACATGAGAGAAGCCCTTCCCAACTCTGTGAAACACACCCAGCAAAGTGCAGCCCAGCGAAGACCATGGCTAACTGCACAGAATAGGCCCTGCTCTCCTGCTCTGACAACACACCAGCCACGAGTGCCAGCACAACACTTTCTGAAAGGGATTCGCTTGCCTGGCGCTTGGTATCAACACTGGGCGGCACCACAGTCAGTATGCTGCCCTGATATTACCCTGGTGGCTGAAGACTACCATCAGTTCTCCCCACAATATATTTTGCCTTTAAAACGACAATTTCCAATATAAGCAATCTCAAGCTGTTTTCACAAACACCTGGAACGAAGAGAAGATGGACATGTGTGGCCATGTTGTTAACCACACACTGCAGACAGTGTCAAGCGGCCCAGGCAGTGTTTCATTTTTATCTTTATTCCCAGTTGTAGACTGGGAACAGAATTACATGAAGAATCGGTAAGCAGCGGAGTACGTATTCCAGCACGGACAAAGTTCAACTTGACACAAAACTGGGAGGAAAGCATTTCTACCACACAAACTTCAGAGACACCACAGAGTATCTTAAGGTTTTGAACTGTACAGGCATGTTAATGCAGATAAACGGAAAAGCCTACGAAGTTTTAAAGACAAGCCAATAACAGCTTTAAATCTGGAAAATACCCCAGAATCATATCGGAGCTAAGAACACAAATTTCAAACGGGAATATTCAGCTGTAACCCTGCCTTTCCCTGCCTGGATCACATTGCAAAACATTTATTTGCTCATCACAAAGATGTGCTCAAGTTGCAACAGCTTTGAGGAGGCAGTTTCCAACAGGTCTGAGCTGAAAGCAAGCTGAAAGCAAGGAAAAGGCACAGAGCTTACTTGGGCACTCTCTGAGGAACAAAACACTCACAGGAAGAAGAGGGTTGCAAGAGGGAGAAGGCCGTTGTGCTCGTGCAGCTCTGGGCTCGATTCAGTTCCTTTCCTGTCCTGTTCTATTGCTTCCTATCCTATCCTATCTGTCCATCCCTTCCTATCTCTGATGAGGCCTACTTACAAATGAGCACGCCTGACACGAGCTGTCTGTCAGGACATGCACTGGGGCAATTAGAGCACCAAATTCACTGCCCAAGGGGTGTTTCTTCAAGAAAATGTTATGGCTTTGCCAAACAGGGCCTAGAGCATGCTCAGGACTGGCACTGCATGTTCTTAACATAATGGTCTTACATGCCTTTGGTTTTTGTGATTAGGTGCTCATTTAAAACACAGGGGTGCTTAGCACATTGGTAGAGAATGCAGCGCAAGCCCTGACCTGAACAAGCCCTCCACACTCCAGACACAGAGGGGGGCCTCTGTCTCGACAGGTTTTCCTTGCAGTTCAGCTCTTACACACCTCTGACAATGCTTCTGATTTATAGGGGCCTACCATATATACCTGCTGGACTGTCCTGCAGTTGGACAGTCCTGATCTTTAATATCTGCTGGGCTGTGTCTGATCTACATCACACTCAGTCCTGCATTCTTGAGCAAACCCCTCTCTCCCGTTTTAAGGGCAAAGACATAACCTATACTACCATTTACTAACTTCCACCCCTTCCAGTTTAAAAGAATAAATAAGTTAAGGAATTAACAGCCTGAAATACGCAGAGCGACTCTACCACATGAATACTTTTTCTTGAAAATGATGTACAAAATATCATGTTCAACAACCCACAACACATAGTACAGAAAAAAAGTAACTCTTCGGTGCCTGGGCCATCACTTAGTGCAGTAAATATATGCCGGTCAACTCACACGCACGTCAGGTATCAAAAAAAATAGCTGAAAGTTTCGCTACCGAACACGAACATGAGAGTAAAACATTCACAATTGCTGACACGTCGCCAGGTCCCAGAAACGCTCCATCGCAGCGTGAAGTACCACTGACTCGCCGAGCCTTGCAGGACTGATCTGCTTTATCAGTTAACTCGAATTGGATATCGGTGAACCAATGCAGAAGTAGAGGCTTTTCGCAGAGTTGGAGAAAACCGACTTTTTCCACTCGCCCAGATTTCTTTGGCGGAAGACATTAGAAGTCCAGTCCGCCCGTGTCATCAGCCTGCTACTCACCTGCTCTACGGTGTGGTTTTCGCCTTGTGCGAGTTACACGCCGTTGGCATCCTACTTAACAGCCTAAAACACACGACAAATAACGCCCGGCTTTTGCAGAAAGGTCGCTCAGACCAGCACGTCGGTTTCCAGCGAGGTGTGCGGTGAAGAAGTTTTTGGCGTTACGCAACCTCCTCTCTCGCACAACTGAAGCCATGTTGCCGCAAACTCGACCCGCTACCATGTTTACCTCGACTTTGCAATAAATCTTGCACACACAAAAAAAAAAAACCCCACGAAACTACGGGCAGAAACACGACAGTGCCCGTTTCCGCGCCGGGCATCAGCGATCGAGTGAAATGCGGGCAACTCCGACAGCATTAACGCACGACTATGGGGCACCTTCGCTCTTCGGGACACACGGCGTTTGAAAATTAACACTTACTGTATCGTCAGACCGCGTACACGGCCTTACAATTAGGGAGTCCCCCCCCCAAATTCACCGGCGCCTCCCCGACAGCGGTCCAGCTGCAAGTGCGGCTCCGGCTCCGGCGGCGCCCCGGCGGCTCGTCACTGCTGGCCGCCCCGCTGCGCCCGGGCTCCCGGCTCCCCCGACACCATCGCGCCGCTGCCCGCCCGGGTCGAGATCCAAGCGCCGCCGCCGCCGCCGTCAGGGGCTTCGCGCTGCGTTTCCGTCCGTCTTTCTGCCTTTACCTTCACCGCAGCAGCGTCAGCGGCATGGCGATAGTAGGGGCAGGTCCTAGCAGCCGCGCACTGAGCGGGGAGGAATTGATCTGCGCCGCAGCCGACGTGGGGCACGGCTGGCCGAGCTGCCTGCAGCCCGGATCCGGGCACCGGGTTAGCGAGCGGGTCTCACCCTCACCCACCGTGGGCATTACATCTTCACCTTCCGGAGGGTGCAGACGGATTCCGGTTTTGTCTGGTAGCTACTGGCATGTCTGCGGAGTTTCCTGCAACACCGAGGGGTAACGCGTTCAAATGTCCTGGAAATGATTCGCCAAGAAAGCGCTCGGTTGTTTTTTTTCCTGTACCAAACCGCCTCAGGACTTTTGTTTTCCCTGCTGTCTGTAGGCAAAGACGACAACAACAACAACAAAAAGAAGCGAAGGAACACAGGAGAAGAACAAGTTATTTTTTCCCTCCTTTAAAGCACAGTGAATCAGCCTTTTGTCCCGTTTTCTTATTCTGATAGGAGGGTGCAATTTAATGTGCGCCTGATACGGTTAGCTAACCAGTCTGGACCAGTTCTCAAAGCACGATGCCAGCGCTCCTCTCTCCGTTTACAGGGGGGGAGAAACAGGCAAAGACCAGACTCGACAAAGCGAGGGGTTGAAGGTGGAGAGGGGCAGGTGTTGCTCTCCGCAAGCCTGGTGGACAGGAAGTCCGGGACGGCCGCCTCTGAAACACCAGACCGGCATCCGACTGCCGCACCGGTCCCAAACACTTATTTCAGCACTCGCCGCAGAGCAGTGTGCGCGTTTTAAAATTCAATAACATTAAGGTTGGGGGTGGTGTATGTCTTGCAAGCCCACTGACAGCGATGTCCAGCCACCACTGGGTCCTATTTGTATGTCCATTTCTCACTGCGAACTTACATATCCATTCACCTGCCAGTGTATACAGCAGCCACATGCTAACTAGTTTTTTAGGTGTGATTATTTGCATTGATACGGCACATTTCAGAGAGTAGTGGGTAAGTCTGTAGACTTCTAACTGGTGGGTTGTGGGTTCGAGTCTCTGCTGCAGACTCCAATGTTGTATATCAAGTGAGGTGCTATACCTCAGTTTCTACAGCCTTCCCAGATGCACAAGTGAGGACCAGTGTTGCTGAGGGGATCATCCCTACGATTAATCAGTGTCCCACCCAGAGGAGGAGTCACAAGCTCTCTAGACTGCTTAATGCCACAGACGCCAGGATGTGTGAGCTCTGGCCCGATTAGCTGACGTGACTCTGCTGTGGAAGTTACCTTCCTGCCTACAGACAGGGCTGTGGACCAGCACAGTGGCCCTGGTCACCAGACGGGGGTTTGGTTTGAGAGCTCTGGCCCAGTGGCCCAGAGAATCCAGTGTCCCCTTCTGCTCCAGGAGCACCACTTTCATGACCAACCTGGTGTTCCCTGCTCAGGACTGGACTTGGAGAAAGCAAACAGAAAATAAAATACTTAATAAAAACATCTAGGGTTCAATATTTTTGTATGGGTGCTCTTTTATTTGCTTGCACTTGCAAGAGAAATCTGACCAGCTGACTTGTCTGCAGTCCTCCATCATCTGCACATGTCTCGGTGGTGTAGGGTTTACCAGTGTGTGTTTCTGATAAGCGGTTCTCTGGCTGGCAAACAGATGTGAAGTCTTTTTATCTGAAACCATTCATTCTTATTTGACATATTCATGTAACACAACTTATTTGAAAGCCCTGTCAAAGTTACCCTGATACTGCAGTTTAAAAGCGATTAATCAATGTGCTCTAGAGGTGGAGCTCGGCTGTATTTGCTTTCTTGTTTTGCTTTACAGTACAATACACTACTGACCTACTCCCATTACCACTGCAGCGTAAATCAGCAGTTGTAACAATTAGTCGTCTTATCTTTGATAAAAATGTTGCCTAGTCATTTTAGTGTTCACACCTTAACTCAGGGGCACGTTGCCATTCAGCAACAAGCTGACCAGTGTTTTAAAGAAGAGGTCCAGTTCAGCAGCCAAGCAGAAAGCACACACTCTTTCAGAAGAGACAGAGAGAGAGAGTTACAAAAACTGCTTGATGCTTTGAAGCTAAAAAAATGGAGACTTCAGGGTCCATCCGTTTGCAGACCTTCCTGCTTGTGGTGCAGAGCCGGAGCTCACAGTACTGGTCACTCTGCTGGCGGGTCACTGGCATGCAGACAGAGACCCACCTGGACCCTGCGCACAGGAGTTTAACACACCACCTGACTCCAAGTAAGAGGATTAGAGAGACTCGGCCTCATCTGCCACTGCAAGTCAGTGGACTGTGGCCAGAGGAGGCTGGTGGAGAATTCCAGGGACGCAGCCCAGGACCGGGGGGAATGGGTTTCAGCACGAGCAGATCACTCAGCACAGAAAACACAGCCTTCTTCCCTCTGATGCTTCGTCTTTCAGCACAGGAGCGTTGTACAGTGCGGATCGCACACTGCCCACACAGTGTCACTTTATTTATGAAACCCTGTGAGGTGTGCGGGGGGCGTAGCTGTGAGGTCTCACCCCCCTGCAGAGTCTGGGTGAAAGTGTGGGACCCCCGGGGGGCGCCCTAATCTCCCGGCTGCAGCCTGCGGCCAGACGGCGCTGGGGGCAGGAGGGCCCCTGTGTCACAGAGGAAGACTGAGAGGAACACAGATAGCAGAGTCAGGGCTCCTTCCAGGGCTGGATGCTGATGAGGAGGATTCCCAGCTCCCAGCTCCCAGATCGCCCTGTAATTGGGATGTTATGCAGTTCTTGGCACGATGCCCCGAGCTGAGCTGCCTGCAAGCGCAGGTCTAAACCTGTTCAGACTGGATGGTCTGTCGCGTGGGCTGGAGGTAAGTGGGTGTTAGACACAGACTACAGGCAGCTCAGAGGGTATCGGCCTGGGCTGGGGGGAAAAGAACTCCTGCTTAGTTTAATGCAGCATTTAGGCAATAAGCCTGACCATGCTATGGCCTTGCTATGGCACCACTCTGTCAGCGGGTCACCGTCTGGTAAAAGCTCCAGCCCCTTTTCATCGTGCTCCTGAATGCAAGGAATATAAGATCCGCAGCACATCTGTGTAATACGGCGCACAAGAGCGCAAAAAAACAAGCGCATTTGTTAACACACATCTTGTAGAAATGATTAGTATCTAGACAACTGCAGTCCTTTATCTCTTTAGCAAGGGACGAGTGTTGCTGTGATTGCAGTCTGCCCTCTTGCCTGGCTTTGTGCTTGCGCTGTCCCCCCCAGCTCAGACGCTGAGCGCTCACTCCCAACAGGACCTGCAGGGTCTGCACCATCCTCCTCCGTTCTTCTTTTAGAACAGCTGAGTAATGCACGGCACACGCACAGGAGCAGCGTTAGAATGGGAACAGATGCCGAGTGATGTATTGCTGGGAGGGGCAGCTCCATGCAGGGGTTGTGGGAGACTGAGAGCAGGCAGCACCTCTGCGTGCAGAGGGCACAGGCGACAGGCCACCCAGTCATGGCTGTGGAGGTCGGCGCCCCGGATTCTTTGACGAAAACGGTTGAGATGAGATCTTTGGATTAATTAATGGAGGAAGCACAGAAAGGATGACCCTTCCTGTAGCCGATGATGAAGAGTGATTTGTAGTGAGCAGGAATGGCTTCTCAGGCAGTACCTTTTATATATTTATCCCTGCGACAAATAAGACAAGCTCTGTTGAGAACCTTTTCATGAACCCACTCTGTTATGCTGCAGGAAAGGATAGCAGAAGCCAGAACTGTAATGTGAATACTGCTACAGCAATATTGACTTTTTTTTTTATCAAAGCAAGCATTTGGAGGCAGATTTCTGCCTTTGTTCAAGATAAGGCTTCAGTCAATAACAAAATGAACTTCACAAATGCTGCTTTCAAAGTGTTAGAGCTGTGGAAATGTAAAGCAAAAGATTTGTTGAAATATTAATTTGATTAAGAAAAATGTTTCTGCTACTTGGATGTAACACGCAGCACCTGTCCACATTAAATGCTATCTTCCAGCTGTGTGCCTAGTCTTGAATTTTGTTTAAATCATCTGGACATTCCTTTGCAGCTTCTACATTGTTTGCTGTCTTCTGCAAAGTTTGAGTGATATGAATGAGGAAGAGCAGAGGTCCTAATACAGACCCCTGAGGTACAACCCTAATTAAATCATCCTGATTTGAGAGTTCACCCCCTATTTGTATTTTCTGTATTTTATCTACAGTATTAACCAGTACGTCATGCAAATGCTTGCATTTCCTTGGATGCCTAACAACTATAATTTTACAATGAATATGTTATGAGTAACGTTCTCAAAAGCATTCTGTGTCTAATTGTAACACATAAAATGTTCTGTTTGCATCTGTCTCAGCTGTTGCCATACAAGTTCAGCAAGACCTACCTTCTCTAAATCAATGCTGATTATACCCTAAAATCTCATTCACTACAGCTGATCCTCTAGTTTCGTTCTAATAATTGTTTCCATAATCTTACATGACCTTATTAGTTGGTTCATTTTTCTCACCCTATCGATCTACTACATGAGCAATTCCCTCCTCCCTGGGCATGACCCCTGTCTAGAGTGACAAGTCATAGAGTTTTTCTAATGGTCTATGAATGACATCTGTTATAGTGCTAATCTAATAACATTTCCCAACATACAATTGGTAGAATACACTCTGTTCTCAGAGATTTATTTTAAGTTCATCTAGTACCCATAACATTTTGCCTTATCTGTGTAAATATTACTTAGTGTAGAACTTTGTCTTTCCTCAGCAAGAGGTCTGTTGTTGATTTCTTCCTTGGTGAGCACCTGAGTTAAATACTCGTTTAATACATCAGCCATTTCCTCATCGTTATGTGAATGTTTCCCATCTTCGACTCTGACATCCTTCATCTGCTGTTCTTCTGTTGGTTTAAAAATAAAAAGTATTGTGAGTATTGCTTTCAAATGTCCCTTCCTTGCCTCCAGCTGGATGCTGTTCTGTTCGGCCTGTGTAAGAAGCCGCTCAGACAGTTTACAGGGAAGCTGTTGACCTGTGGTTAGAGCTTTGACATTTATCAATCACTAGGAGACGAGGAGTGCTATGCAATAATTTTACATCTCAGTGATTAAACATCTGTTTTTTGCAAGGTCCATATTGAGAGGGGGTGTTAGAAAAGGGTGATCGGGGGAGGAGGGGTAATCGCCCCCCACCTCCAGCTACAAAACATCTGCCGCCCCTGCCCAGCGCACAGCAGTTAATTCATCATCCTTTCACCGTCCGCACTGGACTGGAGATGTCCCCTGGCCCTGCCCCGCCCTGTCTGGCCTCACGGTGGCCTTCAGTTGAACGGGTTGTGTTAACGTGACCCTGTGTGACTCTTCAGCTGGGGTGACCTCTGACCTGGGCCACTGTGGGCCCCCTCTCTGCCTGCCAGGGGACACGTCTGGGGCCGCGGCCAACTTCGGTCCTGGAATGGACTATATCACTCACACCACTTTCATTCTGTATTCCTGTAGGTAACACTCAATATTTCATGAACTGATGACATTTTATTTTAAGAACAATGTCTTTTGTAGAAGTAGTATTTTCATGAAGTAAAGAGCCGTTTAAACACTAACTCCAGCTTTATGGATGGTCGGGTTAAGTAGGGAATTGTCACGGCTGAAACTCCCGCAGTCAGAACTTTGTACTTTTTGGCTTGTCAGCTTCTGGCTGTGCGCCTGTCCTCTGAAACACAGCGGCTCAGACAGCTGTAAATCAAAGGTGAAGCCTGCAGAAGGAGATCTGCGGCTCCCGTTCAGGGTGTGTTTTTACTGCCTCTTCCCCTGCGGACCGCACGAACAGAGACAGTCACGAGGCTGAGGCCCTGAGGTCCCCTCACTTTACAAGCTTTTCCCACAGCTGCTGGTCTCCACATATAGCCGCTGTTCTGTCTGCAGAACCGCAGGGGATCTGGCGAGATACCTTTAAAAACAAGCAAGCCTGTGGGACCATAAACAGAACAGCAGGAGTTTGAAGTACAATTAGCCCCTGTCAACTGCTTTACTCAGGAATTTACAGTTTTTGATTATGGCTGATCTGATAAATAACTGACCTCTGACTTCTGTCTTTTTTTCTTTTTTATTGTCTGGCTTGGTTTTCGATGAAGATCCTGAATTGTTGACATTCCCTTCCTGAATAGTCAACTATATTCCCCTTTTAGCTGAAAGGATTTATTCTTCCTTTTCATACACTGGTGTATTTTTCCATTATAGCAGCAGCCATAATCTGGGAGGTTTCTGGTTCTGAACCGCTTGATCATCAACCCCCTTCCACAGTTTCTCAGGAATCTGGCTGGCCTGGCTGCTGGTTTTTCATGCTCAGTCTTGTCTGAGCCCATGTCTTGTTAAGTAAGCCAGATGAAAGACCATGGCGAAGATTGATGGACCCGGCCACGTGTTTTAATCCAAGAGCAAGATTCACATCTTTCATTCCGGCAGCTCAGCTGCGCCTTTGATGTTTTTTTGTACACATCATTTCCTATCATGTTACAAGTGCACAGAGTC